ACTCCACTCATATGAGATACACTTAGAAGGCAAAAGTCGTTTAAATTAAAACTATAGAACTCCAGGATTGTTAATTGACTATAATTATTTAATATCTCTGTTTGCATTCAGTATTTTCTGGGGAAGAAACCAGCCCCTTATTCCCAAAGCAAGATAGTAACAGGCGAATAAACTCCATTCACTCGCCTATTATTGAGGTCCAAGCTCAAGATGGTGCAATCTTATTTCCACATCAAACGGAGTGAATTTCTCTAATATGTACTACAAAAACCCCAAGCAATACCTAAACCACAATACAGAACCCATCAGACACAAGTATTCATGGAACTCAATTCAAGCATAGACGAACTGCTTGAAGCTGCCAAGAGACAGAGTGAAGAAGAGCATAACGCAGAATCACAACTCTGTAGTTAATGACAAAATAATAAAGGATGATGCAAGAGATAAGGAGATGACACAATTAAAAACGCTCTTTTAAGTTCATAACAAACTGAAATTGTTTACCGACCACAAATTACCAACTCACCTCAAGGTATGAAGTCGAAACAAGAAATGGCCACTGGAACTTCCACCACTGCCCATCAAACAATCTGGTTCGCACCAAATTGTTCAATTCCTCCCACTATCCTCACAAGTAAGGCTAGAGTGCGGTGATGAAAGCTCTCAAAACCATACTCAAAACTGCTTAAATGGCCAAAACAAGTACAGAAATAGCTAAAGCAAATAACAGAAATTAAACTGTTCATAGAAAATTTCATTCAAAACACAATTCACTTGACACCCTTCTTAGCTGCGGCCTTGGTGACCTTGGCACCAGTGGGGTCTTTCTTGTCGACACTCTTGATGACACCAACAGCAACAGTTTGGCGCATGTCCCTCACAGCAAAACGACCAAGAGGTGGGTACTCAGAGAAAGTCTCCACCACCATGGGTTTGGTGGGAATCATCTTCACCATACCAGCATCACCATTCTTCAAGAACTTGGGTTCCTTCTCAAGCTCCTTGCCAGATCGTCTGTCAATCTTGGTCAAGAGCTCAGCGAACTTGACAGCAATATGGGAAGTGTGGCAGTCAAGGACTGGAGCATAGCCATTTCCAATCTGGCCAGGATGGTTCATGATAATGACCTGAGAGGTGAAGCTGGCAGCCCCTTTTGCAGGGTCATCCTTAGAGTTGGAAGCAACATATCCTCGCTTGAGATCCTTGACAGCAACATTCTTCACGTTGAAACCAACATTGTCACCTGGCAGGGCCTCCTGAAGAGCTTCATGATGCATCTCAACAGACTTAACTTCAGTTGTCAGACCAGTTGGTCCAAAGGTCACAACCATACCAGGCTTGATTAAACCAGTCTCAACACGTCCCACTGGCACAGTTCCAATACCTCCAATTTTGTACACATCCTGAAGTGGAAGACGAAGGGGTTTGTCTGTGGGTCTCTTAGGCTCAGAGATCATGTCCAGAGCATCAAGGAGGGTTGGGCCCTTGTACCAGTCAAGATTTGTTGACCTCTCAATCATATTGTCTCCCTCGAAACCAGAGATGGGTACAAATGGGATCTTGTCAGGATTGTATCCAACCTTCTTCAGGTAGGAAGAGACTTCCTTTACAATTTCATCATACCTTGCCTTAGAGTACTTTGGGGTTGTGGCATCCATCTAAACAAGTTGAACAAAAAAGGTCAGTAAGAACAAATCTCACATTCGAAAATGCTGAAAAGAACAAACACATATTTATTAGTATTTTGACTAACGAGCTCACCTTGTTGCAGCAGCAAATCATCTGCTTGACACCAAGGGTGAAAGCAAGCAAAGCATGCTCACGGGTCTGACCATCCTTGGAAATACCAGCTTCAAAACCACCAGTGGTGGAGTCGATAATGAGGACAGCACAGTCAGCCTGTGAGGTACCAGTGATCATATTCTTAATGAAATCCCTGTGTCCAGGGGCATCAATAACCGTGCAGTAATACTTGGTGGTCTCAAACTTCCAAAGGGCAATATCAATGGTAATACCACGTTCCCGCTCAGCCTTAAGCTTGTCAAGCACCCAAGCATACTTGAATGACCTCTTGTTCATCTCAGCTGCCTCCTTTTCGAACCTTTCAATGACACGCTTGTCAATACCACCAAGCTTATAGATCAAGTGTCCAGTAGTGGTTGACTTGCCAGAGTCGACATGGCCAATGACCACAATGTTGATGTGAACCTTCTCTTTACCCATTCTGGACTATAAAGAAAGAAACTTTAAATAAAACAAGAGGACAAGAACTGAAACACAACCACTAAGAAACCATGAATAAAAAATTGACAAGACAAACAATCCAATTACGATCGTGTAGGATAAATAAGAAGGCCTGGGGTCCATAAATTTGTAGTGAAAACATCTTGTTTGGCAAATGAAACAACAAAGACAAACCACATTGACTAAACCCCAAAGAACTCAAACCAATGAACATATAAACAAATGCAGCCAAAATACAATTTTCTGGCACCAAAGTTTCATATGCTGAACCGACAACTCAGTTGAAATGAGATTTTAATTGCTGAAGACCCAATATACAAAACTAACTCACCACAAAAAAAAAATCTGTTTGAAACATATACTGAAAAAAAGATTTCCAGCCATTTTTATCTATTTCTTTTTGTTACCAGGCCCTCATAATTGGATATATTTTTGCCGTGAAGTTAAATGCACATCCCATAACCCTTGTGTGGCATAAATCAAGAAGATTCTACTTAAAATGTCCCAAAGAGGAGATCCTACCCAGTGACCAAATACTTAAAAACAGATATAAAATTAATGGTTCGGCAGGTACTCTAGCCTACATTAGTTCACACAAATTTTGGCTACTAGACCCCATGATATTCTATCAAATGAGCAGGCAGATGTCCGATTTGAATCCACCAGTACCACGGATCTCAAAACTAGGACACCTCATGGATGGCCAGGGATCTAAAATGACTCATAAATCAAAACCATAAAAGTTTAAGCAAATATCATTTTGAATAAATATTCAACCATATACAAACATGTATGCATAAACACAACTCAATTAGAGATGACTAACCATGGTTAAACTTTACATGGCCAAAAATAGGGAAAAAAATAAATAAAACAAACCTCACAGATAGCTAAACTTCACGATTAAAATCAAGAAAAAAAATCGAAAATACGAGTTTTAAGACACAATTTTCAAAATCGTGTTGAACAGATCCGAATCAGAAAAAAAATAGTGAATTTCATGCATACAGAGATTCAGATTCACCAACTCCTTACTATAGAAAATCATATATCAGCTCAGATTAACAGATCCAATACAAACACGCACACTCACACATATATAAACACATGTATATAATCAAATGAAATACACAATTAATATCTACAAAAAACCATAGAAAAACAGAAACTAAGAGTACTGACCGACCTATAAAAATCTGGCAGATGAAAAAAGCGCAGGCTCAAGTGAAATCTTTCTCGCTCGCTCGCCGACTTGAGGAGAGAGAGTCTGTATATAGAGAATTATGGATGAGGCAAAGGAGGCTTGAGGCATTTATATATGCAGCAGTAGTGGTAGTGAGGTTAGGGTTTCCTCTCCACCGTTGGATTAAATGTGATCTGACGGTTGTGAAGGGGAGATGCTTTTTGTTAGCCCTAGTGCGTACACGATGCGTTAATTTACCTGTTCTTTGTCTCTGCTCACTGTTGAATTACATAAATAACCCTCATGAGATGCAATAATTACCATTTGCGTCCTGTACTCCACGATGATGATTATTATTATTATTATTATTTTTTGTAGTAGTTTTTCCATTTCTATTGTGCAGCCACTTAGAGGTATTTTTCACTGTTAGTTCACTCTGTGTCTTGCATCTCTCCTTCCTGAGTTGCCAAAAAAACTAACAGTGAAATACCTCTAATTAATCCATGGTTGACAGAGTGATGCCTGTAAACTTTAACAATTCTCATAAATTTGGAAATAGGATCCTCATTACTAATCAAATTAATTCCCAGATAATCGGAAACAATTTTCTATAATGTTCTTGCAAACCCACAATCAATAAAAAAATGTGCAACTAATTCTTCTTCGTTGTAACTAATAATGGTTGAATTTTGGAGCGTGATGCTCATCTTAAACTCAAATCACCTAATAGACCAAAAAGGGTGCACAACGGCCCAAAAAACTCTTTAACAACTCATTTGTTCTGTAATAAAGAATGAGTCATAATCCAAAGGAGGAAGCCCAACAGAGAGTCCAGCTCGACATAATCTTGCTTGGTCATAAACAAGCACAACGTTAAGCAGCCCAGGATCAAGGAGTTCGTTACTCACCAGACCTCAAATGCCCCACTTCACGCCACGTGTCCAAGGGACTAAAAGACAACTTTTAGAGCCTCTAACAAACGTGTACTCTCTAGTAAAGAAAATATTTTTGCTCGTAACCATCTAAGGATCGTGGATATAGTGGTGTCACATGGCAGATGTCACTAAAGGGCAAAATGAAAGGGGACCACAAAATCAGGAAAAAGAAAGAGGAAGCTGCAAGAAACCTAAAAGAATTACTCGTATAAATAGAACAATATCACACTATAAAAAAAGACTAACAATTTTTTCATTGATATAATGGTATTCATAAAATATTGTATGAACAGGCTTTAAACCCAACAACCCATTGTAATTTTCTTTTCCAAGAAATATACACACTAAAGAGTAAGAGATTCTATTATAGTTGACGTAACTTTAGTCTTTCAATTAAGGTGAACTATTTATACACTATCTCATATTCATTCTCATAGTTTTAGTTCTCTGTCAATCCATATATTCAGTCTACCCCTATCTGAACCATCAAATCTTCGTTCTAGACTTGGGCCAAGCATTTCCGAGTACCATCAGTAACGTAAGACACATCGACTAGGCTAGAGAAATATCCAGCTGCTGAACTCTGGAATCAAGAGGCAGAGCATTCTTTAAAATCTTCCATTCCACTAACTGTGCACTTGAGCAGTGTACTATTTTCCAAATATTTTTGGCCTGAATATTAATTTGTCCTAGAGAACTGATAAGCTCTCGTGCTGATTTTGCTTTGAAATTCCTCAAAGAAGAGAGTTTTCATATCAGCTATCCGCGCGCATTATCGGTCAGTAAACATTGGTTGTAACTACTTCCACAACTAGCTGTGAATCCATCTACTATACAACACCCTCTAGTGGTCATTGTCCATTTATCAGATTTGCAGACAGCATAGGAAAGTGCTGAGGGATGGAAGAGATTCTTAGTAAAAGTGAACCAGATCCCAGCCAATTATCACACCAGAAGTCAATAGAGGTTCTAGACCCTATTAGCTTCTAAGAATTATGAACCACTGTTTCAAACCATGGGACTAAGTCTTTAAAGCATTTAGCATAACCTTGCCTCAGATTTCTAAGGAGATGTTGTTGCTTAAGATATTTAGCAAAGAAGAAAGAAGGCCAAAGCGATGAACCAACTAACAAATTCCATACGTGCTTCAGTCTAAAAGTTTTCTGAACTTCTTCAAACTTGTGATTCCCAATCCCCCTTCATGTTTTGATAAAGTAGTATCCTTCCAAGAGCACCAATGTCTTTTCTTCACTTCTAACTTGTTTGACCATGTAAAAGAAGACATCACAGAATTTAACTTCACAAAGATACCATTGGGAAGATTAAGAGAAGCTAGCATATGAACAGGAATTGAATTCAAACTAATTTCATGAGAACCACTCTACCGATATTTGATAACATTTTTGCATTACCATACCTCCATTCTAGCTTGAAACTTCTTTAGTAGATCCTCAAAATAATTGAACTTGGTCCTACCTTTGATTGTAGGACACCCCATATATGTGTAAGGACATTCATTAATGAATGTTTGCAGCATGCAGTAAAACATTTCTCATTACTATAGAAATTCCGGAAGAACAGTACAATGCACTTTCTGTTTAGTAACCTTATGCCCAGATGAAGCTTCATATTTGTCAATAAACTTCAACAAGTTAACAATAGAATTTTTTGATTCCCTTCAAACAAATTCTACAAAAAGAAGATGGTTGAGCAACCTTGATCCTCTGTCTGTGTGAAAACCTTTGAGTAGGTCCTATTCAGAGATATTCCTTACTAATAAATGAAAATACATTGATTTGAAGCCAAAATAAATTAAATATAAGCCTTGGAAAAAGGCTTGTGACCCCCTAGTTAGGTAAAAGACACCAAAGCATATCTATTTGTGGGTCAGACTAATCCACCACCACATACCACCCTTACGATAGTCTTAAAGACACATGGTATTGTTTTCTTTGTCAAATGAGCTAATCAAAGGTAAGTTTGTACTATTTATCCAGTGTTTTATTATAACAGATAGTATTCTTATCTCTTATTTAATCTTGTAATTTATCTGCTAAAATTAGTCTAAATTGTCTAATCCTATCATTTTTTTTTATAATACAGCAACCAAATAAATCTATACGTATTTTGGCTTTTCTTTTCCTTTTTTCATTGGTTAACGAGAAACCTCTTTGAGACAGACTCACTTTAGACCTATTCTTACGAGAATAAACTCTCTATAGTCATATTATTGTTTTTAGAAACTGAAACAAACTCATTTTGATAAAACCGTCCAAAAAACTAGTTAGTTTTTTTATAAGTCTCGTGCTTGTCTTGTATTGGATATAGTTTGTTTTTAGTGAAAGAAAAACTTATAAACACTGGATTCTATACTTCAAGGTCTACATTCTTCCATTGGTACACAGCATAACATGGGAAAGGATTAGGACACTATTGTTATAAAACAGGGGTTTTTGAAACAGTTCATTCAATTTAAAAAATACAACAATTTCATTCTCATTTGTTGGTGCCACTTCTTATGCATTTTAATAACACCCAATAATATCTATCAAAAGATTAAAAAAAATACGAAATATGGTTGTACCCTAGTGACATTAACTAATTTACTCTCCGATCTGGTTCACGTCTAGATTGAGGTATTTATAAATGATAAATACTTATCTTTGTTACTATTTGAGTTGCTTTTATATTCATGACCTCAAAGAATTACAAAATTCGAACTCAGAACGTCTAAATTTAAAATTTATCTATATTATCATTTGAACTAGTCTTGAGTTGATGTACTTTTGATGTGTAAGAAAAAGGATAAGTGCTATTCTCTTACTTTGGCCACCTATATATAACATACATTGTTAAGCCTATGTTCGAATCGCCCTTTTGCTTTTGATGCGTAAGAAAAATGATAAGTCCAATTCTCTTACTTTGGCCACCTATATAAAATACATTGTTAAGCCATGATTAATCATCTGGAACCAAAATACAGGTCAAAAAAGAAGGCACAATTGCCTATGTTTGAAGAAAAAGTTAGTACATTTAGTCAATATTAAAAGAGTTGAACTATGAGCCCACCTTACCCATGCAACTTTTTCTCCCTTGTTATGTGTGACATTGACAACTACTTAATGTTTATAATTCGATTATATACATGTCAAATAAATAAACTTTTATCTATTTTACAATATCGATCTTATTTCATCGCTATATCTTGTTGATTTTTTTATACAAGTATTTGGCGTATTTTTGGATTGAGGGGTGTGTTAAAGTCTGATTGAACTTAAAATTTAAACACATACGATCTTACCTTTTCAAACTGATGTGAAGTTCTAAAATAGTGACTCTACAAACGATTGTAACGAAGTGTAAGACTACTTCTAGGCTCTTTTCACTGTCTTGAAGTTCAATAATTTAATTAATTTTTAACTAACAACGTAATAAATTAGAATGTAAAAAAACACCTAGAATCGAAAGTAACAGAAAAATTGACAAAGATAAATGTGCAAACTATTGTACTTAACATTAAGCAAAAAGGAAAATACCAAAGTGATGATTACAAACTAAAAGAAACTTGCCGGAAAATAAGCTAAATAAAGGAGAGGTTAGCTCTATGTATAGTTATTACTTTCATCAAGAATCCCACATCTGTGGCCATGCCTCCAGTATTTATAGGAGATGATCTCTAACTGTCGAGATGGCCGCTTCTCCCAAGTTACTTAGATGTGCACTGAATCGTCTTTAATTGAGGGCCCTTAATGTCAAGTTTTTTCGTTTTTCGGGATTCTAAGAGTCCCACTTCTTTGACCGACGTGTTAGACTTAGACTCTTGTTGACCTTCTCTTGATCGTAGATCACCTCTATATGTCACCCTCAAATTTTTCTATTTTGGGTGTTAAAAATAAGTTTCTCCATCTCTTAAATAGTTTGATATGAAACCACATCATTTTATGTGATTAGATGTTGAGACAAAGTGAAGCAACAGGGTATAGCTAAGAGAAAATGACGTGTGTTTTTCGTTTAATTTATAATAGATGTATGTAATTAGAATTGTAATACGAGAAGATTGAATAAATAGTAGATTTCAATAAATATTGAGACCTATAGTTAAATCAATAACAAATATAATAATATTATA